CAAGAACCCCCTGAGGTGGTCTCAGAAGTTAAGGACAACGAGGCCCCCGCCCAACCAGAGGCAGAGTCAGAATTGGGCACAGCAACGCTTAGCAACAACCGCTCGGGCCCTGGAAACACATAAAGTCACAAGAATAGATAGACCACGTGCGAAACTCCCACGTGCGAAACTCACCCGCGAGGTGGCCCATGTCCATTCGGATGTGTACTTTTGCTTCTTTCACAGCCTCACCCCCGCCCTGGCTCTTTCTTTTTCTCTGCCTGAATAAAACTTGCTTTGTTCTCACTTCAACCAGTCTTGACATTTTTCCTGTGCAAATCAAGAACCTGGAGGTCACCTGACAGGAGTCCCTGACACACAGGCCCGGGGCCAGCCCCTGGCACTGAGGCGATCTGGTAACAGCAACACTTGCTAATCAGGTGAATTTGTGTAAAGAGATCATTTGATCTCTCCAAGGCTGTTTTGCTTCTCTGCAAAATGGAAAATAAAAGCTACCTCATTTATGGAGGTGTTGTGGAGATGAAATGAGACAACAGTTATGAAAGGCCTTTGTCAGACACGAGACACTGTGCAAATGATGGGAATGTTTTACATTATCAGCATCCGACACTCGGCAGCACAGGTCTGAACGTGGCACTCTCTGTAGAACTGGTTCAAGGAGTCCCCGGTGACTGCAGAATGAAGTCCAAATTCTTCACAATCCAGTTCCCACTATCTTCCCAGACCCACTTCTCCTCCCAGAGGCTACATCAACCATCAGGAGTCAGCTCAAATACACTCTTCCAAAAGCCAACCCTGATCTCTGCCGACCAGAAATAACGTTTCTTCTTCTCAAATGCTGGGGCACTTTACTTGAACTTTCCTCAAAGACATTCCTTTGTCACTTTCTACTTTAGACTGTACCTATTTATAGCTACCGCTTATTAAGCTTCCAACTACATATCCAAGTATTGTACTAGACTCGCATTATTTCTTCTGACCAAAATAACCCTCTCAAATAGTAATTGAACTAATCCCATTTAAATGGGGCGGGGGGGGGAGGGGTGCGGGGGGGGGGAGCTACCAACTTGCAAGCAGGAAATTCAAACACAGGGCAAATTTCATAGCCCATGTTTTTCCCATGGTGCCTGCTGCCTCCATGGCTTTATTCATGGCCCTTGACTTACGCCCCAAGGAATGTATAAAGCCCTTGTTAGTGGATTCAGTCTGATTTATCTTTGGTATCCCTCACAGACCCAGCACAGTACTCGACACACAGCAGAGGCTCAGTACCTGACCATGGTCAAGTCGGTTGCCCTCTACATGCCCCAATTCTTCAGCTATGAAATTGGTCACATGAGCACAGATCAACTCATTTCTAACATTAGCAATGATAGAAGTCTTTCAGAATGTGGGCAGTAACAACATTAACATGTAAAAAATATATTATATATATATATACACGAATTGGTTCCATCTAATCAATCACCAAATTAACGAATGGAATAAAAGATACCAGACAAAGTGGTATCTAAAATACATAGAAATAAATTTAAGACATATGCAGAAATATGCAACATATTATAAGAAGAGCATTTAAAAAGTCTTAATAAATGGAGAAAAAGAACATTTTCCCAGCTGCAGAGACTCACTAATGGAAGAGGAGATAGAGGTCTTTTTCTCCAAAATTCATCTCTATATTTAACATACGGTCAATTCAATTTACTTCAAGAGAAGTGGCCCGGTTCAACAAACGGGCCCTTTCATATAAATTGGTCCAACCTTTGGAGGGAAAGTTGGAACGGTATCTATAAAAATGTTATATGGACATACCCTTTGACACAGAAATCCTGTTGTAGGAATCTACCCTGCAGAAATGCAAACACATGCTACCAAAGATGGACAGGGAATGTTCGGGGCAGTTTTGTTTGTCACAGGAAGAAAGAGAGAGAGGAAGAGGGCAGATGTTCAGGATAATTATACCAGAGGATGATATGGGACATTAAAAAGAAAAGAAAGGTTTACAGATACTGACAAAAGAGTCTTAGCTAGGTCTCTGTTATGGACTGAATGTTTATGTCCCTCAAAATTCATATTTTAAAACCCTGATTCCCAGTGTGATGGTATTGGGAGACAGGGTCTGTGGGAGGTAATTAGGTCCTGTCCCTGGAGCTCTCCTGATGGGATCAGGGCTTTTGCAAGAGAGATAGGTGAGAGCTTGTTCCTTTCTCTGCTCTGCCAGTGAGGACACAACGGGAAGGTGGCCTTCAATAAACCGGGAACCGGAACCCAACTAAACTGGCCCCTGATCTCCGACTTCCAGCCTCCAGAACGGGGAGAAAAGTTTCTGTTTAAGCTACCCAATCGATGGTAATTTGTTCCAGCAACTGAGCAGATTTAAAAAGTCTCTAAGGGGAAAATGCAAACTATGTCAATGCAAATTGTAGAAAAACGTTCACAGTCTGATCATTTTTTTGTAATGGGGAGTATAATTTATTAGTAGTGGCGGAAGAGATGAAAGCATGGGGGATGGAGGTTTCCTGTTCTGCTTTCTATATTTATGCAAAAAGCATACATTACTTTTATAATCCTTTGTTGAATTTAACAAATACCCGTTCAACAAATACTGGGTCCGGTGTGTCAGGCACTGGGAGGGTGAACGTGACCCTACTCTCAGGACCCTTGTAATCAAAAACCAAGTAGAAATAAGAACGTACCTTTGTTTGTTTTGGTGGAGCAGGAAGAGGTTGGTTCCCTTAAGCAAAGTATTCTAAAGATCATCTGGAGTTAGTACTAACAGATCTGCTAGGAAATGCTACTTGGGTGCCACATATACCAAAATTGGAAGGATATATTGAAAATTAACATGGTCCCTGTGCAATGATGACATCAAGCTAATGAAGTACTCCATCATTTTATTATTGTGATGGTGGTGACATTTGACAAAACTCATCAAAATATACATTTAAATTGTGCATTTTCTTGCATGTAAACTGTACCTTAAAAAAACTGATTTTTTTTAAACCCAGGAAAATGATGATAGTGGGTAATAAGAAAGAATCTGCCGAACCAGACATTAAACCTATTATAAATCTTCAGTAATTAAAATTTGGTGCACTGACACCAAAATATACTGAAATAGATGCAAAAATCCACAGATACAAATATGTCATAATTTATTCTATCATAATTGTAGCAATTTAAGTCAGGGGTAAAAAAAAAATAGGCTTAATAGCTTTGCAGCAACTGGCTAACCATGAGCTCTCCATTTTACAGCTCAACCTAGAATAAATTCACATTTAAATTTCTAAATGAAAGCTTTAAAGTACCTGGAGAGACTCCAGGAGAATATTTATATAAACTTATGTTAGGAAAGGCTCTTTTCAGCAAGGCCCTCAAGCAGAAACGATAAAGAAAAAGAATAATAGATTTGACTAAATAAAAAGTTAAACTTATACATGGTCAAAGATGAAAAACTGAGAAACATTAGGGAAACTGGGAAAGACGATGCAACATAAATGACAGAATTACTACTTTAACGTGTAATATATAAAGAGTGCTTAAAAATCGGGGACAGAAAGTCAACTGAAAAGAGGGCAACAGAATTAAGTCAATTCACCCACACAAATGCAAAAGGCCAAAACACACAGCAAGAGGCGCTGATTGCCCCTGGGTAAATCAACGAACACATTGGTAACGGTGGTAATTTCCCCTGGGTAATCAGACATGCAAATTAAAACTATCTTTTTTTTTTTTTTTTGGTCCATGTTATTGGTTTAACTGTGTGCATGCAGGGAAAATTTAACATATCCAGAAAAAAATCTCAACACTCTAAAAGACGAAGTTTAAGTTATCTTTATTTTCTCCTTTACATTTTTATTTCCTGCATGTTCTGTAATGAACTTTTCCTTTAAAAACATTCCAGTAATTTTAATAACGTGAAGTGTTAGACTCGTCTCTTCTCACCTCCTCAAGGACCTGGTAGAGTGCACTCTAGACAAGCACCCCTAAAAGGCTCTTCTCCCTTACAAGGGGCTCATTCTCGGGGGGAAATTCGCGCAGGTCTGCACCGTGGGATCCCGGAGCCGAGTGGACCACCAGGGACAAGAGCAGGGGAGGCCTGGGTGGCGCCCTCCGACGCCGCGGGCTGCGGGCGCAGTGCGGCACCGGCGACTCCCCAGCCCAGCCCCGGGAGAGGCCGAGGCCAGCCGGCGCTGGCCTCGCTCTCCCCGTGGAAAGCGAATGGGAGCGGAAGACGGGGGTCCCGGATCTCGCGTCGTCTGCCGCTGACCTTGGGCAGTCCCCACCGCGCTTGGGCCTCAGTTTCCACACCCGCAGGCCCCGGCTGACGGTCCTGATCGCTGCGCTGGGCTCCCTTCGGCCGGTCTTTCCGGGTCCTGGGAGGGTCGCCTTCCCGTGCCCGGTCGCCCTTTCTCGGCCCCCGGGCTGCGAGGTCGCCCGCAGACACCCATCACCGCCGCAGCGCGTTAGAGCGCGCCGGGCTGGCCCGCGGGGGGGACGTGCCGCGGACCCTCGCCGCGGGCGGGGCGGGCCATTAGGCGATCTGCCCCGAGGCTTGCTCGGCCCCGCCAGGCTTGGCAGGAGCGGGGCGGGGGAGCTCGAGGGGGTCTTACCTGGACTCGCACACGCCCGAGCTGGCACCTTCCAGTCGGCCTTGCGGCGCGACCAAAGCGGGCGCAGGGCGGGGAGGAGCCCTCGCCGCGACGCTCATTCATCCCTGCGCTGACGCGGGCCCCGGCCACGCACGGGGAGCCCTTCCGGGGTCCCCAAGGTTTTCTGGAAGGAAGCGGCCGGCTCCACGGCTCGGGCCAAAGCGAAGCCCGCCTACCCGGAGCGCACGACCCGGCGCAGGCCCTCCCTGGCTGCGCCGGCCCGCAGCTGCTCACCGTGCCAGCGGCTGCCGCCCCGAACCCTGGTCCCCTCGACCTGGAGCCTCTCCGGGGAGCGCTCCAGCCGCGATGCCAAAGGGACCGGGAAGATCGTGCGCCGCGGAAACCTACCCGGTGGGGGCGGTCAGCTCCATCCTCTGCGCACGCGGAGGGCCGCCTCTGGCGCTGCCTAGACCGGCTGGTGCTGCAGTCCACGCAGGAGCCATTGCCGAACCCAGAAGCGGTTTGGGGGCGCGCCGGAGCCTCGCCTCGCCTCCTCCCGCGCCGCGCAGCTCCATGTGACCTGCGAGCTGCGGAGCGAAGGCAACCCCCAAAGCTAACTTGGGATGAAAAGGACGGCGAAGGGCGCCAACTGATGGGCAGAGGCGGAAAAGCAGGCTCCGGGCGAAGGAAGTGGAAAGGAGGTAGGGAGTGAGTCTCCGCGCTCGCGGTCCGCAGCCTCCGCTGTTCTCTGCTGGAGGGATTTGTTTTTGCCAATCATAAACACAAAATAGGCTCAGAGACATGGAAGCAGGAAACAGACTGACAGATGTTAGCGGGGCGGGGGAGGCGGAGGGGAAAAGAGAATTTGTGTGCCTGTATGCATAACTCGTGGACACGGAAAATAGTGCGGGGAAGGTCTGGGTAGAGCTGGAGACAGGTGGAGGGAGGCAAAGGGGAAAATGGGAGACGTCTGTAATACCTTTCAACAATAACAATGCATTTTAAATAATAATAACGGACACCACTCCCACGCCCAGTCTCCGCTGTATCCAGCTTTACCCCAGGCACCCTATGAACATTCCCCTAGCTGTCACTTCACTCCTGTACCTTGATTGCCGTCCCCAATTTGCAAAGGATGAAAGATTTGAGAAGATACTTAGCCAAGTGCAACCCTTATTCCAAAAGCCAAAAATGTAAACATTTATTTAAAAAGCAGAAAGTCTGGGTTTAACGAGATCACCTCGGCAAGCATGGGGTTTAGGTTTGTAGCTCTTTCCACTCACCCATCAGACTCTCCTAGGAGAGGCCTTGGTGGTTCATCTGAGTTGGAAGCAGTACCATCCCCACCTTTAATTTTGACAGATGGATGATAACATACCCATCTGACAGATGGAAAAATGGGGGTTTGGCCAAATGAATGATTTTGTCCAATTGACAAAGTTGGTCAATCTAGTCTACTAGTTAATAATGGAGTGGTTGTTTGCTAGACACTGTGTAAAACACAGAATTCACATGATTTTAGTACATACAACAATCTTATAAGGAAACTACTATTACTATTCCAAGTTAAGAAAACTGAGGCTCAGAGTGATTGTGAATTTGCATACCAGGCGGAAAAAAAAACAAAGAGAAAATATAAAAAAAAAACCAAAGATAAATTTTTGAAATTAAAAAAGAGATGAACCCGGCGGGTGTAGCTCAGTTGGTTGAGCATTGTCCCATGCACCGAGGTCACCGGTTAGATTCCTGGTCAGGGCACATGCCTCGGTTGCAGCTCAGTCCCCAGTGGGGGATGTGCAGGAGGCACCTGATCGATGTTTCTCTCCCATCCATGTTTCTATCTCGGTCTCCCTCTCCCTTCCTTTCTCTGAAATCAGTTTTTTAAAAAAGATGAAAGGAATGTCAAAGAGGAGAAATTAGTAAAAAAAAAAAACCTCACAGTTAAACACATCTTAGTGACATTTAAGAATATAAAGGGCAAAAATTCTAAAAGGCTTACAGAGAAGAACATATCAACTACACAGGAACAAATAGCAGATTGTCATTAGATTTCTTCAACAGCAATCATGGTTGCAATAAGACATGTGGAGAAAGGTTTTCAAATTATTAAAGAAAGAAAACTTATCCAGAATTTTATATCCAGCAAACTGATGCAGATATGTAGGCATGACAAAAATGTTCTCAAGCACAGGCAGTCCTCACTTTTGCACAGTAGTGCAAAACTGAAAAATGATTGTGCATGCTGAAACCATACAAAACCATTTAAATAATCAATCGGAAAACAGGATTATTCCATGACCTTAACATTTTTTTTTTTTTTGCCAAAACTTTAAAAACTCTCATACTGTTGGGTATAAAAACATTCTTACTGTCTGGGAAAATGAAAAACAAAGTCAAACTAATAATTATTTAGTACATTACAATTTACATTTTAGAAACATTGAGCATTAAATTTTTTTTTGGTAAAAACATCAAAAGTAATTTAAGTAGTGCTTGCCCTTTCAATGCATAAACTGCCTCTTAATAAAAGTTACTCTATCTTTAACTTTTTATTGACCACTTTGAAATTCTGTCTTCCTTTGCTTAAATTCCTGGTGTAGCCCTTGAAAAAGGCTTGTCTCGTCGATATATATACTATTTGGTGATCATTATAACCAGCTGTGTGTCCTTATTTCCCCAAAATGCTGACTCTGACCTTGAACTAAACTGAAAGCTTTGTTTGTGCTGATCTCAGCCTATCAATAACCAATGTGTGGCTGGACTGGCCCTGGTGGTCTTATTATGATTACAAGACACTCTTTTCCTGGTTACATCAGGAAACTTAAAAAAAATAAAGGTTTATTATTTACAGGACCTGGAAGTTACACAGCACACCTGGGGCCGCACAGCAGGCCTCTGGTAGAGAGACAGGGCGTATGCTTGGGCCTGAGGTTCTGCTTTTATTGGGCTTGCGGGGCGGGGCCTACAGTTTCAGGCTGATTCCTTTTTGGTGAATTTAAACCTTAAGTGTAAGAATTTAAAGCCCGGGAAGGAAAAAAAACACAAATGGTCAGTCACTGAAATCTAACAAGATAATCTTAAGCAAAGGAGCCTCAGCCCCAGAGGCGGCCTGGCTCCTTATCTGGTTTTGTGACTGGAAATGTGTTTATTCCATGTGGCCATCACTGAAGTGGATGCTTCTTTGAAGTTTATGCCTCAACAACCAAAGCTTAAATCAGGCGCTTGCATGACAAAAAAGAAAAACAACAACAACAATGGTCAGTGCTTACACTAGCAGTGTAAGCTGGCCCTTGAGATACAGTTCCTCATGTTGTGACCCAACCATAAAATTATTTTTGTTGCTACTTCATAACTGTGATGTTGCTACTGTTATGAATCCTAATGTAAATATCTGATATGCAGGATGGTCTTAGGCGACCCCTGTGAAAGGGTCGGTCGCCACCAAAGGGGTCGCGACCCACAGGTTGAGAACCGCTGCACTACAGGTTTCTTGGTGAACTTACAGGTTACGTTACGGCTTCCAAGGGTTAACAGAACTCTACCCAGTAAATGTGGAGCTCTAACTGGCGTTAAACACTCGGGCAGAGAGACACTCCAAGGGTTTGCACAAAGTGGAAGCCTACTATAGGAAGGGTGTGGCAGGGAGATTTTTAGTAAAAGAAAACAAATGGGTTGGCCTTAATGGATTATTTTCAGACGTTTTTTTTGGGTGGAAGGGAACGGCTAGGGCTTTATCTGCAGATTGCCTCTTGTTCCTGTGGGGAGATGGGCGATGTGGAGAGGGCAGGTAACATTACTTTGCTGATGCGTGACGGGCTGATAAAGATTATGTTTCTGGGAGAGGTTGAAACTGCAATGAAATCAGGTATTAAATCTAGGTTTTGGTGTCTTGGGCGTTAGCACAAGTAAAGCCTTCGGGGCCTGTGATTCTCTCTTCAACACTAGCAAGTCAGCTACAAACAAATAAGTTCACGCAACGAAATGGAATGTTAAGTTTCCAGGAACCAGTGACAATGCAAAGCAAGGTACTTGCTCAATCATGTTTTATACACCGACTGCGGGCGAGCTAGTTCTCCACGCCCCACGGTGCCTGCGCCCAGGTTCCTCCGTGGCCGGGGGGGGGGGGGGTGGTGTCAGCGGCGTCCTCAGGAGCAGGGATGTTGGACACCTCTAGGGCCCCGCGAGGCGCGCTGGGCACTGCTAACATTGCAGCAGACCGCACCCCAAGAGGACCCAGAGAACATCAATTCCCAGAAGGCATTGCGTGCCCAGCAGCCCCAGAACCCACTGGCTGGTGGTACTGAGGGCTGCCAGGGCCCAAGACGAGATGGGTTGCACTTCTTTAGGATCTTCCTATAGATGCTGAGCATGCCATTGTTCCTCCCTGGAAAGCAACCGTATACAGCTTGCACTTAACCACTCACGTGGATGAAGCAGGAGACTCTAAAGAGGCCAGATGAATCTGAAAGAAAACAACAAACCAGAATGTGAAGCTGTCCTGGCGTTCAATTCAGCGATGACTTTAACTGAACCAAAAAGCCGCTGGTACCTCTTGATTATCCAGTGGATGGTAGTTTTGAGTCACCCCACGCTAGGGACATGCCCATTGTATTGGATGATGAAAGCCAGTGCTAATGAAGTCCCATACCTAAGGCTTAGGGAAATGGAGGTTACATGCCACCCTAATGGGGGTTACATGAAGAAACAGCCAGACATCGCCAACTATAAGGGCTGTCCTCGCGGACCGGTTAGCTGAAGTAGGAGATGAATATAAACTACAGAATGAGCCCCTGCACGTGGCCGTGAATGACATCCATGGGCTCCTTTCATCCATGTCTGTGTTGAGAGGAAACTTCAGCTTGTGGGCACTGCAGTTTCGCTGTTAGCCTCAACGTTTAAAGAAATACACTCCCAGAAGTAGCAGAGTTTGTGTACATTACAGATGACACCTGCACCAAGAATCAAGTTCTAAGAATGGAGCACCTCGTTCTGAAAGTCCTTGCTTTTGACTTGGCTGCACCAGCAGTAAATCCGTTTCTCACTCAATGCTTCCTGCACTACAGTCTTCGAACAGCAACGCTGAAAGCTTAGCAGTGTCTTTGAGAGCCTTCCGTTTGATAGGTGCTGACTCATACCTTAAGTGTTTACATCAGTTATTGCCAGAGCGGCCTTTCCTGTAGCACTCCACACAGTCCCAGGGCAGAGCTGGCCTGAATCCTTGGTACAAAAGATTAGATATATCCTGGGAAGTCTGCAGCCTTGTCTCCTGGACCTTCTCCAGACCCACCTCAGAGCACCGCGGCCCGAACAACCATCAGGAAAAACTACAAAAATTCCAAGAGTCATGTTTTTCCTCTCCTCGTCCTACCAGAGACATTACATGTGTATCAGAGAAAGACTGCCTTTGTTTTCTAAGATTTAAATCACTTGAAGTATATGGTGTAGGGTTTGTTAATCCTCACCTGAGGGTATTTTTTTCCCCATTTTTTAGAGAGAGTGGGAGGAAGGGAGGAGGGAGAGGGAGAGAAAGAGAGAGAGAAACATTGATGTCAGACAGACACATCGATTGGTTGCCTCCTGCAGGTGCCCTAACCCCATCAGGAATCAAACCTGCAAACCAGGTACGTGCCCTTGACCAAGAAGTGAACCAGCAACCCCTCGGTATTTGGTCCAATGCTCTAACCACTGAACAACACCTCTCAGGCCTGGTGCAGTTTTTATCTATACACATATTCCTCTAACGTGATTACCCTTCAGCAATACCTTGTAAGCTTATTTCATGTTAACAAATACAGCTCTCTGT